CCTGGGCCTTTCATCCCAAGTCTCACAAAATTCAACAACAAGTTCCTCAGGTACGGTACCAAACCTGCCAAAACCTCACAAAACCTGCTGTTGGAGTATGGCAGGTTTTGGGCAGTTAGGGTTAAGTCTTACAACTCAAAACGAATGGAACAGGTGCAGTACATTTATCTGGGAGTGCTGGTGACTTTTGACTGGTTTTGCCAGAAGGTTCACACTGGTATCTTTGGGAGTTATTAAGAAGCGCAGTCTACCATGTCTGTTTTTTCTTGTCGGTTTATCAAGGACCACATCTTCTGCACGTCTTTTGCCACCGCACACTACCTGAAGGAGAAGCTGAAATTTGAGGGCAAGGTCTACTTGATCGGGGAGGAGGGCCTGAAGGAGGAGTTGACGGAGTATGGCATTAGCTTCACGGGACCTGGGGTAAAGGCAGCTCACACGCTCAGTCAGATTAGAATCCGGGGAAAAGTGAATGGAAAATTAGTATACTGTGCCTGCCGGTTGTTCCCATTTAGTAAGAACTGTCCAGATTTTTAAGTTTTTAGACCACAAGAAACCAGAACTTTCTGATTTCCTTAAAAAGAACAAAAAAATTTAAAAGTCTTGGCAAAGGAGAGTGCTATTGCAGGAAAAAAGAGGGCGCTATTTGCTATGTCAAAATGGCAATTGTTACACATACAAAATATGCACACGTGTGTGCATGTACATACATATATACTTGTAGCTTTTCTTGGGCAGCTGATTATTTTGCTACTGGCTTGGAAAATGGGTTTTTACTGTTTCTGACTTTTCAGTGTCGGAAGGTATGACTTATATGCACCCGTTTGAAATCTAACCCTGATTTGATGAGAAAGGATCGTCTCATGAGATTTCACCATGTACACGTTATATTGGCAGATTTCTGTACAGGCGATGACACACTTTGTTTAGGCGTCCGCTTTGCTTTCCTGTGGTGCAATAAGGACCGTCCCTTCCCCCCGACTAGTCTAAAGAAAAGCTCACATGTAAACAAAAGTTTGACATCATCCGTGCAGAGGCCAGTTGATGTCACAAGACATTCACAGCCAAGTGCACCAGCGTTAACATGAATCCGATCAACACATGTAATTTTGCAATACGATCTTGTCAAGACTTACACTGTACATGAAATATGTAGCAAATTTCGTGTGATCTTCCTTGTTTGTCCAATGACAGCCCGACCCTGTTGTGGGACCACAGAAGGACTGGCTACATATACCACTAGACCCTGAGGTATGTTTCAGTGCTCGCTGGTATTTTACACTAACGCAACGGAATGACTACCGGTTAAATACATGTTCTCATCGTTTTAGGTCAAATATGTAACCATCCATGGACTTGCGAATAAAAATATGTGACGTTCAGTCAATGATGACAGAGATGGAACTGTTGCCACGGTAGCTGTGTAGCGGCATCCGTTGTACCTCTTTAGTTGGGCACTTGGCTAGGAAGGCTTGATTTGAGACCTGTAATACCATTCTCAGTCCTGAAATCCTGTAGCCTGTTTGGAGGAGTTTGGAAGATTGAGGCCGAATGGCAATATTAGTGTGGCCGATTGTGTGGGATGCATTGTGGCGAGGTGTTGGATTTGGCCTGGTTCTGGTTATGCTCGGCCATGCATAAATCCAGGCCGTCCTCCACAGTGCTCCAGGGTATCTCATTCACACCGCCTCAACCCAATCAGAGGAATTGCTGGAGGCTTTGAAGGATGGAGACGGTGGTCACCCCTCCAAGGAACACGTGCAAGAAGTAACAGAGGATTTTGGAGGATTCAGGCTGTGTCCATTTGCATTTGAAGAATTTCAAAGGACTTTCAAAGGACTGAGAAGCCAAAAAGGGCCATGGGGGAGGATTAGGTCTCAGATCTGTCGAGTGCATGTGACTCAGAGCACTAATCACGAATAGATTAGAGAGAGTTGAAAAGGGAAACTGAAGCCACATAACTAAGGTTTCCTGCACAAATCAGTTATAAGATATTTCAATGAAATTTGTCACATTGCAAATACATTTATTTGTGACAATAATTTGCACTAAATACTGTTACAATGTTTTCCATAGTCGTTTGCAATGTATGATGTCCTTTCAGACCCACCATACCTCTACATGTTTCTTCTGTTCAATTATATTCCTTGATTTAGTTTTCTTTCTCCCTTTTTTAAAAATTTGGTCGGGGGGAGGGCTTTTTGAGGAGTTCGGTTTGTATTTCCGTTTTTATCATTGTGTTTTCATGGCTTTCTCAAACTTCCTCCTTTCATGTTTTGTGACTCCAAACAGTGGTAGAATGCCTTTCAAGTTGTACTTCTGTTTCAATACGTTGCTGCTAATTAATAATTTCCCTTCCCTCTTTCCATTTTATCCTTCTTCCTTATTAATCTAAGTTCAAATAACCCTGTTCATGTCCGCACGTACATCTCCGTCTTCCAGAAGTCTTTCGTAAATTCGCGGTCCCAATTGGGAGTGGGTGCCATAATTAACCTACTCACCTTTAACCCTTAAAGAGCCGGGTTTATTTTTGGGCGTCTTACAGCCAGGGGTGTGGGGTTCCACCTACAAGATTTCAGCTGTGACATGCCCAATCATTTTGAAACTTGACATGCACTCAAAGACTCTCCTTGTTGGTACAAACCTGAAGATTCAATTTAATATGAAAGAGAGTTTGGATGTTAAGGTCATTTGGCCTGTGTGCATTGAACATCGAGTTCAGATTTTTTCTGACCTGTCTCAGATAAATGCGCTGAGCATAAGAACAGCATGTCTGATTTTCTTAAGATGTTGTCAAGCAGAATGCAAGATGCTACTAAAATGTCTAACATTCATGAAAAAAAGTACTGTGACGATATTGAATACAGTGTTTAGGGGGAATGGACCCCCCCCCGGCTCTTTTAGGGTTACTTAAACCTCCATGCTTTCCACTCTTGTTTTGTTTGTCGTGTCTCCATTCCCAATCTCTTTTCAATTCCTCTACATGTAGGTTAGGGCTGTGGTCGTAAGCTTTGACGTCCACATCAGCTACGTCAAAATTTTGAGAGCGGCCAGCTACCTCAGCGACCCCACTGTCCCTTTCGTCGGCACAGAAATGGATGGTCGCAAGCACTACCCAGGAACTCATGTAGTTAAGCCTGGTAAGACGCCTGTGAAACAGATGACATCGCTCTGCTTGCTTTTTTTCTCTCTCTCTCTTTGAATTCCAAGGTTAAGGCCGTATGCGTGGGGTTTGATCGCACCTTCAGCTATTTCAAGATTCTCAAGGCGGCGTCGTACTTGAATAATCCAAACCTTCCTTTCCTTGCAACCAACTGTGACAAGAGGTTTCCCCCTCATCTCGGTTACGATATTGTTTTGCCAGGTAAACTTTGGAAGCCGCCTTTTCTTTTCTCCGAAAAAACAAGTCACCACATCACCCCACCCCCATCCCAACTTAATAACATCCCAGTTGAGTCTTTAGCTGGAGTTAAGCACATACAACTCTCACCCACTCAAGTTCTCTGCAGTATTAAGTTGGCTAACCGTAGTGTGTATTAAGCACCTGCAGGCTTTGTACCATCAAAGTAAAACATGGCTACACCCTCAATTCTAAGAAAACTAGTATTTTAATTGCATTCAAATTATCAACTCCATCTCACCGAAAGTGCCCGAAAATCATTGAACGTTAAAAGCGGATCCACAGGACTTTTGTCTGTACATGTCCGCATTGTTGGTGATTTTGAGCCTATGAATTACCAAACCCTTTGTAGAATTTGGCAGACAGACTCACTTGTCCTACATGATCAGCAAGCTTTTCACCAGGGTGTTTTAGTGTAGCGAAGGAATACATACATCATACCATGCTTAATATCAGTCCCCGTTCCAAATGCACTTTTAAAAAATGTAACATCTGTTTTGGCATTTAGTGAAACTTTGGTTTAAAGTAAGATTTGAAACTTCATGTGGTGGAGGCTCGATCTTTTCCAGAAGAGTAGTGGTTCTGAGGGGAAAGTTCTAGCGAGTGGGAATTCAACCTTTTGACCTGGATACTCTGGTCGGCCCCAGGAGAGAATGACGAACTAGAATGGAGTGCTGTCTTTTTAGTGGCACCACATTGGTTCTTACATGCATCATGAGTAGATGTGTACTAGGGTACCTTGTTCCCAGTGTAGGGCACCAGCCAATGATTTCTCAAAACCAAAAAGACTCTGTCCCCGGGGGAGTGTCCTTCCCCCTCCCTGATCTGCCAAAGCTTGCATACTTTCAAGTCTTCCAACCTGCCCAAGTTGTGGATAGCATCTCCAAGAACAGCATGTGTTAACTTTTATTTTTTTAATTTTGTCCCCCCTTGCATGCCATACATGTAGGTACCGGATGCATCATCAATGCAGTGAAGACTGCAGCGTTGCGAGAGCCCATCGTTTTGGGGAAACCAAACACTTACCTGTTTGAGTGCATACAACAGAGGTATGACAGTTGATAAATCAGGAATAGTCAATGTGGATTGTTATTCATTGAGACTTCAGGCAAATGGTTAGGTGTGTGAAGTTTGGAGTGTAGCATTGGATGTGCCAGAGCTGAGAGTATTATTCTTGCTCGGACCGATCAAATTTCTTGCCGGAACTATGCATTCTTGTCTGGAAAGTCGAGTCCGTCCAATGTCATCACATTTTTGCCAAGATTTGTCTGCTGCCCTCATTGACCGATTTCGATAAGTTTTTGCGAAGAGCCCAGGCGACGACTGAAAAAGCACATAGAAAACGCCAAGTTTGCTGATTTACTGACATAACAGAGGGGTTAATTTAACTTATTATATAAAAGACGGTTTAAAAGTATCCCATAGCGTCAATTTAACCCTCCATGGCCCATCCCCTTCAAGGAGGTTTGAGTGAAGCCCTTGTTAGAGTTTAGGTTGGTGTTGGTTAGGGCTGGAGTGCGTATGAATCCGCATTGAATGTTTGATGTTAGGCGATTGGAACAATATCCTTAATAGTAAGTGACTTCGTCATACACATGGATGCATCAGTGATTACAGTCTCCTATTGGATGAACACCAACGTTGTGCGTTTACTTCCAGTTCCATGGTCGCATGTAACTCTTTGTGCAGTGGGTGTAGTTTGAGCTGAAGTGAAGGCACACGTACGAACCGGATCGTCTACCGTTGGTTGACAGGTTTACCACCGGAAACCATGTACAATTCTTGTGATACACATTAGGGAAAATGTAGGAGGTCCTTGATTGAAAGGTGTTGAAACATTTATGTGGGAGGGGGCAAGGTTTAATGTGTTAAAAGTTGGGAAGGTTGGATGAGGGTCAGGTGATGTTGATTGGGTGGGGGTGGTTGTGGGGAGGGTGCAGTGTTTTGTGAGGTTGTCTGTGAGACGGTAACTTTATTTCGATATCCACCCTCGATACACATTCAGTGGTTATAAAGGGTGAGAATATGCAATATCATTTAGGAAATTATTATCTTTGTAGACTGTGATTGCCATTTATGTTACTTTAATGCAATCTTGTTGCTTTGTTATTGAATGTGATTGCAATGTTGATGAATGCAATAACTTACTCTTTGCAACAAGCCAATGGAAAGTAAATTTCTATGTGAATTTTTGCATGGACAATAACAAATTTGAATCTTGTCTGGGTTTATAGTTAAGGGTCATTTTAGGACTGAGGTGGGATGGGATGAGATGGGTGTTGGGTGAGGGTGGAATTGGCTGAGGGTGAGGTGGTGAGGGATTCTGAAGAGGTTGGATCAGGTTGGGTGCAGTTTGGATGAGGGTCGCACTTGGTTGGGGGGTGGGATAGGGATTGGATGGGGGTTGAATGAGGGTAGCATGGGGGGAGATGGGGTTTGAGAGAGGATTGATCAGGTTGGGTACAGTTTGGATGAG